GAGGGGGCAGTGGGGAGCGGGAATGGGGCCGGTGCGGGTCTCAATGTGGATGTGTGTCTGTGGGGACCGAGCCAGTTTAGGGCTTTGTGGGGGGATCAGGAGCTGGGCCAGGGAGAGGAATGGGCGCCTGGGTCAGCTCAGTCTGGGGCAAGTGGAGCGTTACGGGACCGAGTGGGTTCAGGTTGAGCTGCAGAGGTATCCGGTCTTGATCTGAGAGGTGGGATAGGAACTGGATTGGCATCGGGGTTCATGCTCTGCAGGTTGTGCCCGCAGGTGCTGGCGGAGAAACGGAGCTTGGGCAGCAGGGATGGGCCCCCACACCTCGTGGTTCTGGTGCCGCTGCACAGCAGGGCTGCAGCCCACGACACCCTCCGCTTGCTGCAGAGCCAGGACCCGGCTGTTGTCTGTGTGGATGAGGGGCGAGCTGGTGGCTTTGCGCTCCTCTGTCCCCGACTCAAGCAGCGCTGGCGCTTTGTGACAGCACAGGCAGGTGAGGAAACGCTGCTGTTGGTGTGGTTCTTGGCTCCGTGCCCCTGGCAGCCCCAGTAACGGAGGTGTTTTGTGTGCAGGGGACCTCCATGCTGTCTTAGACCTAGCAAAGGTTGCTGACTCACTCCTGTTCATCCTGGATTCTGCAGATGGCTGGGACAGCGCGGGGGAGCACTGCCTCTCCTGCCTCTTCGCACAGGGGCTCCCCACTTACGGTGAGTGAGCAAGAAACATTAAGGGCTTCTAGTGGGGTATAGGTTGAGGGGGTGCTTGATGAGGATTTACTGTTGCAGTAATTAAAAACTCCATGTTAATAGGTGATCATGGGTCTTTGACCACTCTGTTTCTGAGCATAGATTGGTCAGGTGAATGCTGTTCTTGTGCTGCCTTGTTGCGTTACTATGCTGGTGGAGGAGTGTTGGAGATAAAAGGGGTGTTCTAGGTTTAGGCCTCTGGGTCCATGATGCTGTCAGTATTGTAATGGTTGTCTAGGCATGCAGAGCAAAGGGATTCAGATGCTTTTTTGCTAAGTTCAGTTCCTGGGCCCTTATCTCCATGGTCTCATTTAGTCTCAAAATCTTATCTCTGAAGACAGGTTTTCTGTCCTGAGTGTTCTTTTGAACGTGTGAAACTGCCTTTGCACCCTGTGGAGTGAATCTGTTTGGTTATTTGGGTTGTTGATATCTGAGTGTTTGTTAATGCTTGGTAAAAGGGGTATAAGAAGATTTACGACCTGATCCTGAACTCTGTTCTATGCACTGCTTGGTAGCTCTTGCTGTCCCAGGGGGCACTGACTTGCCACCTAAGAAGCGGATAGATGCCAGGAAGAAACTTGCCAAAGCCATTGAGAAGCGCTTTCCTGAGGCCAAGCTCTTCCCCCTGAACACGGAGCAGGAGTCCTCACTGCTGCTGAGGCACCTCGCCACCCAGAAGCAGCGGCATCTCGCTTTTCAGGACAGGCGGGCTCATCTGCTCGCTTATGCTGCTGAGTTTGTGCCTGGTCAGGAGAGTGACCTGGTTGGGACCTTGAAGGTGTCCGGCTTTGTCCGGGGACAGACCCTCGACGTGAACAGCCTGGTGCATATTGTGGGGCATGGAGACTTCCAGATGAGCCAGGTGGATGCTCCCCCCGACCCCCTCTCTTTGAACCCCCGAGTGGTTAAAGGACAGAAGAGGAGTCAGGACATGGAGGTACAGGTGTGTGGGAGGTCAGGGCTTTGCTGGTCCTGTTAGGACACGATGTTTCTAAACTTTCATCAGGAAAATACAACTGGCTGTGTGTGGTTAAGGGGGGCTAAAGGGAATTTTATCAAGAGAGCCAGCAGGGCTGTGTTCTGCCTCTGAGCTGAGATTCCTTGCACGTGGCATGTAACGAGCGTTATGTTATAGCATAATGGACATGATACTGAAGGGAGTTTCGCTTCAGACTGATTGCTCGCTTGAGTTAGGTGTATTCACAGCTGGGAACTCTGCTCTTGCCCTTCAGGATGACTCTGCAAACGGTACCGATGAGATGGAGGAAGATGTTAAAGTCCTTATGAAGGCAGATCCCAGCAAGCAGGAGTCTTTGCAGTCAGAAGTAGTTCCTGATCCTATGGAAGGGGAGCAGACATGGCCCACTGAAGAAGAACTGCAAGAAGCAGAGGGTGAGTAGCAACAATATTTCTGTACCTTTTCCTTGTCCCTATTAAGAGGGTTGTTAGAAATCCTCCATCACCAGGATGGCTGAGGGTGGCTGTGAAGAACCGTGCTAGTTGGGAGCCCAGGGCTTCCATTCCTAGTCCCATCACCTGACTACCAGGCTGCGTGGTTTGCCTGGCAGTTAGCAGGGTTACATTTTTCTGGGCCCTGACAAATTCTGTGCTGGTAAACAGCGATTCTGGTCTAGAGCTGATCTTGTCTGTCCCGGTGTAAATGTTGCTGAGTGAGAGGAGAATTGTTCCTGTATTAACTAGTGGTGGGAATCCTACAGCTTCTCTGAAGGCAAACAGGAGGGTGGTGAAGGTCCCCAAAGGTACATCCAAGTACCAGGCTGCCTGGATTGTGGATGATGGAGAAGAGGGCAATCAGGAAGATGATGATGATGATGAAGATGATGACATCGATGATGATATGATGGAAGAGGCAGTTTCCCAGGTACCTCCAAGGGCTGATGCTGTAGGCGATCTCCAGGGCACTATTGCATATCCTAGGACAATCCTGTCCTTCTAGCTTGCTCCATGCAAGGGCACAACATAAAGCCGGGGCTTGCCTGGATTTCCATTGTTAAATCTCTTATGTGTATCATGCTGCTTTTTTGGCCTGTTAGATACTGAAATGAGGGGCTGTGGTGTAGCTCAGGGCATAATTCAAACAGTGCGAGTTCATGCAGGGTTTGCAGTGCTGCATGGACATCAGCAGAGCGTGTGTGCTCACGGGCTCTGTGCTGTCCTCTGTCAGGAGGGGGGAAGCAGTGAGGAGGAAGAGGAGCCTGCAGAGGAGGAATGTGAGACCATGACTGTTTCCGAGTGCTTGCGGGATGACCAGTACGATGAGAAGGTGGAAGAAGATGAACAGATGCTGGAGAGATACAAACAGGAGAGAATGGATGAAATGTTTCCGGATGAGGTGGACACGCCACGTGATGTACCTGCCAGAGTCCGGTAAGAAACAGGGTGCTTTGCTGGGAGAGGAGCTGGAAGGCACTCTTCTGTCTAGTTTGGTGAGATAGGGCAGGAAGCCTGTGATGTCTTAGCCGTGGTGTCTGAACCTGGCTGAAGGACTCTTCTGAAGACTCAC